ACAATCTTCTGAGCAGCAAGAGATCTGAACAGACAACTACTCAGTAGTAATTGGGGAATCATCTGGTGACATGTTTACGGCAGCTGTGTAGTGTCAGTGCTAGCAGTTTCTCGCCTGTATTCAGTTGTTTGAGCCCTCAACAGACCAATGAACCCCTCAGTATAAACTATCAGTTTCCACTTTCCCCAATTTGGCTTTAGCAAGTCTAGAATAGACAAATACACACTTCCAAGGAAGGTGGTAATGCATCAATCTATACAGATGTTCACAGGTCATAATCAACCTATGACATTTTATACACAATACCATCATAAAATCTACACTTAATGGAATGTTAAGATTTCTTCTTGGCTGATAGTTAATCACATGTCAAACTTGTGCGCAGAATCTGAATGCTATGGGTCAATATTTCCAATTTTAAGAGATTTTTTACTATATTATTATTCATATCACCTTGACAAGAAATGGGATAACACCTAAAAACTTGACAAATAATGGAATCTTAAGATTTTCTTTTGACTGATGATAATAGATCACATTTCAAACTTGTGAGCAGAATCTGAATGCTATGGGTCAATATTTCTTTTGTTAAGAGAATTTTGATTATATTATTACTCATCTTGTCTTGACCAGAAATGGGAGAACACCTTTAAACTCTACAGTTAAGGTAATCTTAAGATTTTCTTTGAGCTACTGATGGTTAATCACATTTCTACCTTGTGAGCAGAATCTGAATGCCATGGGTTAATATTTCTAATTTTAAGAGATTTTTTGCTATTTTATTACTCATATCCCCTCAACCAGAAATGGGATAACACCTATAAAATCTGCAATTAATTTACCGTAATCTTAAGATTTCTTCATGACTACTCATAGTAAATAAAATTTCAAACTTGTGAGCAGAATCTGAATGCAATGGGTCAGTATTTCCAATTTTAAGAGATTTTTGACTATATTATTATTCATATCACCTTGACAAGAAATGGGATAACACCTATAAAATCTACACTTAATGGAATCTTAAGATTTCTTCTTGGCTGATGATAGTAAATAACATTTCAAACCTGTGAGCAAAGCCTGAATGCTATGAGTCAAGATTTCTAATTTTAAGAGATTTTCTACTATATTATTATTCATATCACCTTGACCAGAAATGGGATAACACCTAAAAACTTGACAAATAATGGAATCTTAAGATTTTCTTTTGACTGATGATAATAGATCACATTTCAAACTTGTGAGCAGAATCTGAATGCTATGGGTCAATATTTCTTTTTTTAAGAGAATTTTGATTATATTATTACTCATCTTGTCTTGACCAGAAATGGGAGAACACCTTTAAACTCTACAGTTAAGGTAATCTTAAGATTGTCTTTGAGCTACTGATGGTAAATCACATTTCTACCTTGTGAGCAGAATCTGAATGCCATGGGTTAATATTTCTAATTTTAAGAGATTTTTTGCTATTTTATTACTCATATCCCCTCAACCAGAAATGGGATAACACCTATAAAATCTGCAATTAATTTACCGTAAACTTAAGATTTCTTCATGACTACTCATAGTAAATAAAATTTCAAACTTGTGAGCAGAATCTGAATGCAATGGGTCAGTATTTCCAATTTTAAGAGATTTTTTACTATATTATTATTCATATCACCTTGACAAGAAATGGGATAACACCTATAAAATCTACACTTAATGGAATCTTAAGATTTCTTCTCGGCTGATGATAGTAAATAACATTTCAAACCTGTGAGCAAAGCCTGAATGCTATGAGTCAAGATTTCTAATTTTAAGAGATTTTCTACTATATTATTATTCATATCACCTTGACCAGAAATGGGATAACACCTAAAAACTTGACAAATAATGGAATCTTAAGATTTTCTTTTGACTGATGATAATAGATCACATTTCAAACTTGTGAGCAGAATCTGAATGCTATGGGTCAATATTTCTTTTTTTAAGAGAATTTTGACTATATTATTACTCATCTTGCCTTGACCAGAAATGGGAGAACACCTTTAAACTCTACAGTTAAGGTAATCTTAAGATTTTCTTTGAGCTACTGATGGTAAATCACATTTCTACCTTGTGAGCAGAATCTGAATGCCATGGGTTAATATTTCTAATTTTAAGAGATTTTTTGCTATTTTATTACTCATATCCCCTCAACCAGAAATGGGATAACACCTATAAAATCTGCAATTAATTTACCGTAATCTTAAGATTTCTTCATGACTACTCATAGTAAATAAAATTTCAAACTTGTGAGCAGAATCTGAATGCAATGGGTCAGTATTTCCAATTTTAAGAGATTTTTGACTATATTATTATTCATATCACCTTGACCAGAAATGGGATAACACCTATACAATCTACACTTAATGGAATCTTAAGATTTCTTCTTGGCTGATGATAGTAAATAACATTTCAAACCTGTGAGCAAAGCCTGAATGCTATGAGTCAAGATTTCTAATTTTAAGAGATTTTTTTGCTATTTGATTACTCATATCCCCTCAACCAGAAATGGGATAACGCCTTTAAAATCTACAATTAATGGAATCTTAAGATTTCTTCATGTTTATTTATAGAAAATAACATTTCAAACTTGTGAGCAGAATCTGAATGCAATGGATCAATATTTCCAATTTTAAGAGATTTTTGACTATATTATTATTCATATCACCTTGACCAGAAGTGGGATAACACCTATAAAATCTACTCTCAATGGAATCTTAAGATTTCATCTTGACTGATGATAATATATAACATTGGAAACTTTAGAGCAGGATCTGAATGCAATGGGTCAATATTTCCAATTTTAAAGAGATTTTTGACCATATTATTACTCATCTCCCCTCGACCTGAAAAGGGATAACGCCTATTAACTGGACAAATAATGGAATCTTAAGATTTTCTTTTGGCGGCTGAGAGTAAAGCACATTTCTAGCTTGTGAGCAGAATCTGAATGCAATGGGTCAATATTTCTATTTCATATTTTAAGTGAGTGAGTGAGTTGGGTTAAACGCCGCCTTTAACATTAGTCCAGTTATATCACGGTGTGTCAGCTTAATGTGGGAGGAAAGCCGGAAGTGATGCAGGTCTCCGACGTTTTACCACTTCGATGAAACCCACGAGCACGGGTATGGTGCTGACAAACCTAGAAGCCTAATTGGGGCAAACCGGTATTCGGACATACAATCACAGGTTTCTGGCGGGTCCAAGGGGCGGAACTCTGTACAGCCAATCGCGGCGCGTTAGACAACTGGACCACCCATGCCCCCTCTAATTTTAAGAGATTTTTGACAATATAATTACTCATCTGCCCTCGACCAGAAATAAAATCTACAATTAATGAAATCCTAAGATTTCTTCTTAGGTGATGATAGTAAATAACATTTCAAACTTGTGAGCAAAGTTTGAATGCTATGAGTCAAGATTTCTAATTTTAAAAGATTGTTTTACGATAATATTATTCACATCAACCCGACCAGAACTGGGTTAACACCTATAGAATCTACTCTTAATGGAATCTTAAGATCTCATCTTGGCTGATGATAATATATAACATTTGAAACTTGTGAGCAGGATCTGAATGCAATGGGTCAATATTTCCAATTTTAAGAGATTTTTTACCATATTATTATTAATCTCCCCTCGACCAGAAATGGGATAACTCCCATTAACTGGACAAATAATAGAATCTTAAGATTTTCTTTTGGCTGCTGATAGTAAATCACATTTCTAGCTTGTGAGCAGAATCTGAATGTAATTGGGTAATATTTCTAATTCTATGTGAGTGAGTGAGTTGGGTTTAACGCCGCCTTTAACATTATTCCAGTTATATCACGGTGTGTCAGCTTAATGTTGAAGGAAAGCCGGAAGTGATGCAGGTCTCCGACGTTTTACCACTTCGATGAAACCCACGAGCACGGGTATGGTGCTGACAAACCTAGAAGCCTAATTGGGGCAAACCGGGATTCGTACCCACAATCATAGGTTTCTGGCGGGTCCAAGGGACGCAACTCTGTACAGCAAATCGCGGCGCCTTAGACGACTGGGCCACCCATGCCCCCTCTAATTTTAAGAGATTTTTTGCCAATGTCATTACTCATCTGCCTTTGACCAGAAATGGGATAACACCTTTAAAATCTACAATTAATGAAATCGTATGATTTCTTCTTGGGTGATGATAGTAAATAACATTTCAAACTTGTGAGCAAAGCTTGAATGCTATGGGTCAATATTTCTAATTTTAAGAGATTGTTGACTATATTATTACTCACAAGGAAAATGCAATACACTTTTTCTTAAATTCTGTATTTCTTGAAATATTATAATTAGCCACATATCAGCATAAATTACAATGTGGTGACACAATGAGCAGTCATTATTTTATGCAAACAATGTGGAAAGTTGCTTATGTGTCATGCATTGGCTAAAGCAGACTCAATTATAAATTAGTCGCTTTGATATATATTAATTATTTACTGACTGTCGCGTTAAGCAACATTCACTTACTTATAAACGACTTGTATTCAATGATATATACTCAGGGAAGGATAAGAATTTATGGATGAACAACTTCTTTCTTACCATTAAGAGCGACGTTTCGGTGTAGGTTCTAACACCGTTATCAAGCAAGTGATAAGACTTACTTGATAACGGTGTTAGAACCTACACCGAAACGTCGCTCTTAATTGTAATAAAGAAGTTGTTCATCCATAAATTCTTATCCTTACTTAGTACTCAAACTTCTAAATGCCTATCAAAGAAGATATACTCAGGTAACAGTTCCTGTTGAAATTAATTCTAAGTATGTTTCGACGTTTCATGCACAACAAAACCAGGCGCTTAAAAGAATAGAAGTTATTTATTTTTTGTCTGTAGTACAGGGTAAGCTTCGATGTGTTGATTCTGTAAACTCTTGCAAAGAATCAATAAGTTCAAGACTTCCACCTTTTCGCTTTTCGCATTAACTCTTTTCGATTAACAAGTTGAAGAATATTTCAGCCGCCATCGTTGTCAGTTGTATACTGTCTCGCACCTAAAATGATATAAATATACCTTTATCAAGACTACACGTACACATTCCATTCAGTTGTTTAGTCAGCGGATTAATCTCTGACAGGCATATATTGGGGTGGAATAGGATCTAGGGCAGCTGGTGTTTTATTACCCCAAACTCAACAATGTATGCAATGTTGTTATTTTTGTAGGATTAACAGAAATAGCAGAAACAGTATATGGTATAACGGCTAAGACTCACAAGATAGCTAAACGCGACAACTTATCAGCCAATGAAAACACATGTCACCGCTGCGCCGGTATCTTTGGGCCACGCCTACAAATAGGTTTGTTTAGGAAGCGGATTACGGAACTTGTGATTTCAGCACTTTCGCTTGGACTTTTAAATACTTTCTACGAATATTATGATTTTTTCTCACTCGGAAACTGACTAAATGTACCTAGGAAAATTGATATTCGCAACGAAATCGCAATCATTCTTTTTCACTTCGCTTGCCCTTAATACTGACAAACTTGGCTAGTTATGTGAACTGAAAGCGTCGTGTTTAGATGATAAATTTGATCTAAAATTATGAACATTTGTTGAAGTTAGTGTGAGTAAAATCCAACCTTGAAGTATCACAGTCTACCAATGTTAGTCTACGTTTATCTTCCAGAAAAATATAGAAGCAAAACATGGCATTGCTACGTGACCTTTCTACTTGTCATCATTGATTTTGTTGATTGGCATTTGATGTTTAAAGAATAATAAAATTATCAAATGTTGTCGCAATTTGCCAAAATGATCTTATTTGGTTAACTGGAATTAGTCCTAGACATCATCAGTATTTCCCGATTATCGAAATTGTCTGTCATGAGCTTCCCATATTTTAACCTTGTGGACCATTGAATCCCACCGCTCCCACAGTCAGTTGAGCTAATGACAGAACTATAGATCAAAGAACAAAGAGCTCATCGCGCAAAGCTACACATTCCCACCTGGTCACTTATTTCAATGTCGTAGCAGCACCACGAGGCGAAATGCTCACAGTTGCTGGCAAACACATTATACCCTGTTCTGCCAAGCTGGCTCGTGGCTCTCTTCACGATCTCGGATTTGCTGTAGGCTCTGAAAAGGGAGAAAACTATCAAGAAGTGTAGTCATACGTACATTGGACATGCACGGGTTTACATTTGCGAATGTCTTTAACTCAAAATATATACCTAATTTCTATTCTGCACAGAATTCTCTCTCTCCAGAAATGGCCAGTATGTTACACTAACTATGGGATAAGGATAAGGTTTTACACTGTTTACTGTGAATACCATCCAGTATCACTACCCCATCGCTGCCCGAGGGATGTTTTAGTGAGAGGGGGGAATAAGCCGAGTGGACCACCGTTGCAGTTCAGTTGTTAATTCCAATGGTAGTCACGCACACTAAACAGCTGAATGAATTCTGTAATTTTGTTCTGACACTGACGAAGTCTTTGGTCTTATATTATAAACATGTAAACTCAAGTTCAGTAATGTGAGATGTGTTTTATCTATCTATCTATCTATCTATCTATCTATCTATCTATCTATCTATCTATCTATCTATCTATCTATCTATCTATCTATCTATCTATCTATCTATCTATCCATCCATCCATCCATCCATCCATCCATCCATCCATCCATCCATCCATCCATCCATATGTAACAGATTGAACGAAGAAATATACTAATATTTTAACATGATAATATCAGATGTCCTGTCGTCATCCATTTTGGATTACAATAACTGTTCCCTGACGGAGAAGTCTATCACAATGATGACGAAGCGTAGTGGGGAGGGAGTGTTCTTATTACTTTAGCCCGTATTTCTCCTCCTTTGAGTTGTTCTTGTTCAACCTGCTATTCCCAGCAACATCCATGATTTTGTCTTTTCGGACAACGGCTTTCTCAGCCTTGTTAAAGCTCTGACCATCAACGCTTGCCAGGTGGATCACGTTTCCATCACCTGGAAGACAGATGTTCCGACGTATCACATGCCTGTCTAAAATTCGAGACTGGAATGGAATTCTTGTACGGTTAGCGGGCGGTGACAATGGCTGATGGATTCTGATCTTACACTGTACCCCCACATTATTAATTATCCTGGTCAGATTTGGCAGTGGCAAGGAAATTTATGTTAGCAGTAGATCATGGAAATCCTTGGATGCTCCAAATATGTAAATGGTGTCTCGATAGAAAATCAGGATAATTCAAGCATAAGAAGCGTACTTTACTTCAACCACCCCTGAATTTGTGACAGTCTCCAATACATACTAGAAAAAGACCGATTTCTGAATACTGGCTGATTAACAATAGTGATAGCCAAAGTGTTACCTTAAAATCAAAGGTCAAATATTTAATTATACCAAGAGTTTGGAAAACATTCATTACAACTGGGCAATAAGAGGTTTTCGTCTAAATTATTGATGGTGGACATTTGAAAATCATATGTGAGTGAGTGAGTGAGTTTGGTTTAACGCCGCTTTTAACAGTATTCCAGTTATATCACGGCGTGTCAGCTTAATGTGGGAGGAACTCCCGAGCTTTACGGCACTCGTTTCAACCTAGCGATTTTCATTTTTGTCCACACTTGAAAAATATATTGACACAGCTCTCGTTTAATATCTTGAAAACGGAACAAACGAACATTCTGGAATGTCTAATATATGGTTGTACCGTGCAACGCCTCCTCCGTTCGAATGTTTATCCCACGGAAGGGAGAAATAGACGATAATTTTGACGGAATCAGTCGTACGGGCCGTAACTGTCGTTCAGAAAATCCCGTGTTAATGTTTTCGAGGTTGCATGATTAGAAAATACATTCCGACGGTCACTTTCATGATTTGTTAAGCGACGCTTTGATTTGTCGGATGAAAGATTGTTCTGACGTGACCCGTACTGGGATGTATTTAGCGATAGCGAGAACTAAGATCTGATTTTAAATGAGATTGCTCAAAATAGAAGAGCCCATAGCTCTTCACTCAATATCTGGCTCCAAAACGAAACATCGGATGCTTATCTCCATTCTACCATACCGAACTAATTGCGATAAGTTAATGCACAAACAAATGTATTTTGAATACATGATGTTATCCTACCACATGCCATACTTTATGTACAGCAAATTGTACAGTGATACATGTTCAAATACTGAGGATTGAACAATGATATTTCTGAGAGGTATATATGTATGACATGTTGTTATAAGCAGCAGGGGGCACGGGTGGCCCAGTCGTCTAAGGCGCCGCGATTCGCTGTGCAGAGTTGCGTCCCTTGGGCACGCCAGAAACCTATGATTGTGGGTTCGAATCACGGTTCGTCCCGATTATATTTCTAGGTTTTTCAGCACCATACCCGTGCTCGTGGGTTTCACCGAAGTGGTAAACGTCTGAGACCTGCATCACTTCGGGCTTTCCTCCAACATTCAGCTGACACGCCGCGATATAACTGGAATACTGTTAAAAGCGGCGTTAAACCAAACTCAATCACTCACTAACTGTTATAAGCAGCACATTGACAACAATGAGTAATATATAACAAGTAGCATACAGATAAGTGGATAAAGCCAGATGTACAGTAAGAATAGCAAGTAGCACACAGGTGATGAAGCACACGGGTAATGAAGCCAGATGTACAGAAGGGATAAGGATTTGTAATTTATGCTTCTTAAAATGTGTCAAAGAGAAACCATAAATATTAGGACCAGCCTACCAATATACACGCCCCAATGACAGTACAATGCCCTCTCAAACTCCACCTGATCACCGGGCTCCAAGCTCGACAACACGGAGTCGTTGTGGTCTTGGATCGACGCCATCGCCATGCCAAACTGTAAAACGAAAGGCGTTATGAATAACACTATGTACAAGAGTCCATGGTGTGACAGCATCACATACACACAATAACAGCAGTGACTGAGCATAAAAATTGTCAAAAACTAAGTCACCAAGGCCTCTGCTGCTCCACTAACAGTTAATAAATATCGATTGACGCCGTTCAGTACAAACATATCATGAAGGCCTAACAAACCACCATTGATATCATTTTCAACACGCCACACCGCAGTCAACAAAGTCTGATCTGTTTAGTCGACTCTCTAAACCATCTCGGTTTCAGGAACCAATCCCACCTGATAAAAAATAGAAACTGATTTGCAATGTCTATGTCGTTAAGGAAGACGATGTTCCATGGTCTTGTGCCAACTTCCAGTCTAGGTCTGTACGTTGTTAATGTACATTAAATGGGTGTTCTGTACGTTGTTAACGTACGTTAAATGGGTGTTAGTGTGCAGAAATCTGATTGTTAAATGCTATATTGTTGTAAGGCGTGCAGTCGTAGTGTTTTAATGTTGTACCGCCTCGTCGTACTGTCGTAGCATTATAATGTTTTGCGGCCTCGTAGTACTGTTGTAGTATTATAATGTTGTGCCACCTCGTTGTACTGTTGTAGTGCTGTAATAATGTACCGCCTCGTCGTACTGTCGTAGTATTATAATGTTGTGCGGCCTCGTAGTACTGTTGTGGTATTAAAATGTTGTCCCCCCTCGTCGTGTTGTCGTAGTGTTGTAAAGTTGTGCCGCCTCGTAGTACTGTTGTATTATTATAATGTTGTGCCCCTCGTCGTACTGTTGTAGAGTTGTAATGTTGTGCCGCTTGGTCGTATTGTCGTAGTGTTTTAATATTGTGCACCCTCGTACTGTTGTAGAGTTGTAATGTTGCGACGCCTCGTCGAACTGTCGTAGTGTTGTTATGTTGTACCGCCTCGTCGTACAGTCGTAGTGTTGTAATGTTGTACCGCCTCGTCGTACTGCCGTACTGTTGTAATGTTGTGCCGCCTCGTAGTAGTGTTGAAGTATTAAAATGTTGTGGCCTCTCGTCGTACTGTTGAAGCATCTTGTCGTACAGTCGTAGTGCTCTAATGTTGTACCGCCTCGTCGTACTGTCGTAGTGTTGTAATGTTGTGCCGCCTCGTCGTACAGTCGTAGTGTTGTAATGTTGTACCGCTTCGTCGTACTGCTGTACTGTTGTAATGTTGTGCCGCCTCGTAGTACTGTTGTAGTATTAAAATGTTGTGCCGCCTCGTAGTACTATTTTGGTATTAAAATGTTGTGCCCCCTTGTCGTACTGTCGTAGTGTTGTAATGTTGTGCCGCCTCGTCGTATAGTCGTAGTGCTGTAATGTTGTACCGCCTCGTCGTACTGCTGTACTGTTTGAATGTTGTGGCCCCTAGTCGTACTGTTGTAGCATCTTATCTTAGAGTTGTAGTGCTGTAATGTTGTACCGCCTCGTCGTACTGTTGTAGTGGTGTAATGTTTTTCCGCCTCGTCGTACTGTCGTAGTGTTGTACCGCCTCGTAGTACTGTCGTAGTGTTGTAATGTTGTATCGCTTCGTAGTACTGTTGTAGTATTATAATGTTGTGCCTCATCGTACTGTTGAAGTGTTGTAATGTTGTGCCGCCTCGTCGTACAGTCGTAGTGTTTTAATGTTGTACCGCCTCGTCATACTGCTGTACTGTTGTAATGTTGTGGCCTCTCATCGTACTGTTGTAGCATCTTGTCTTACAGTTGTAGTGCTGTAATGTTGTACCGCCTCGTCGAACTGTCGTAGTGTTGTAATGTTGTGTCGCCTCGTCGTACTGTCGTAGTGTTGTACCGCCTCGTAGTACTGTCGTAGTGTTGTTATGTTGTATCGCTTCGTAGTACTGTTGTAGTATTATAATGTTGTGCCTCATCGTACTGTTGTAGTGTTGTAATGTTGTACCCCCTCATAGTAGTTTCGTAATGTTGTAATATTGTACCGCCTCGTCGTACTGTCGTAGTGTTGTAATTTGTACCGCCTGGTAGCACTGTTGTGGTGTTATAATGTCGCACTGCCTCGTCATACTGTCGTAGCGTTGTAATGTCGTACCGCCTCGTACTGTCGTAGTGTTGTATCGCCTCGTCGCACTGTTGTTGTGTTGTAATGTCGTACCGCCTCGTACTGTCGTATTGTTGTATCGTTTCGTCGTACTGTTGTAGTGTTGTAATGTTGTACCGCCTTGTAGTACTGTTGTGGTGTTATAATGTTGCTCCGCCTCGTCATACTGTCGTAGCGTTGTAATGTTGTACCGCCTCGTCATACCTTCGTAGCGTTGTAATGTTGTATCGTCTCGTCGTACTGTCGTAGTGTTATATCGCCTCGTCGTACTGTTCTAATGTTGTATCGCCTCGTCATACTGTCGTAGTGTTGTAATGTTGTGCGGCCTCGTACGGTCGTAGTGTTGTATCGCCTCGTCGTACTCTTGTAATGTTGTACCGCCTCATCATACTGTCGTAGTGTTGTAATGTCGTACCGCCTCATACTGTCGTAGTGTTGTATCGCCTCGTCGTACTGTTGTAGTGTTGTAATGTTGTACCGCCTTATAGTACTGTTGTGGTGTTATAATGTCACACCGCCTCTTCATACTGTCGTAGCGTTGTAATGTTGTACCGACTCGTCATACTGTCGTAGTGTTGTTATATTGTACCGCCTCGTACTGTCGTAGTGTTGTAATGTTGTACCGCCTCGTCGTACTGTTGAGGTGTTGTAATGTTGTACCGCCTTGTAGTCCTGTTGTGGTGTTATAATGTCGCACCGCCTCGTCATACTGTCGTAGCGTTGTAATGTTGTACCGCCTCGTCAAACTGTCGAAGTTTTGTAATGTCGTACCGCCTCGTACTGTCGTAGTGTTGTATCGCCTCGTCGTACAGTCGTAGTGTTGTAATGTTGTACTGCCTCGTCCTACTGTCGTAGTGTTGTAATGTTGTGCCGCCTCGTCGTACTGTCGTAGTGTTGTACCGCCTCGTAGTACTGTCGTAGTGTTTGATTACCGCGTCCACAACTTATGTCACCTTAGTAACAACAGAGAAGATGCCTTCAGTTGTTTAGTCAGCGGATTAATCCCTGACAGGCATATATTGGGGTGGAATAGGATCTAGGGCAGCTGGTGTTTTATTACCCCAAACTCAACAATGTATGCAATGTTGTTATTTTTGTAGGATTAACAGAAATAGCAGAAACAGTATATGGTATAACGGCTAAGACTCACAAGATAGCTTAACGCGACAATATATCAGCCAATGAAAACACATGTCACCGCTGCGCCGGTATCTTTAGGCCACGCCTACAAATAGGTTTGTTTAGGAAGCGGATTACGGAACTTGTGATTTCAGCACTTTCGCTTGGACTTTTCATTACTTTCTACGAATATTATGATTTTTTCTCTCTCGGAAACTGACTAAATGTACCTAGGAAAATTGATATTCGCAACAAAATCGCAATCATTCTTTTTCACTTCGCTTGCCCTTAATACTGACAAACTTGGCTAGTTATGTAAACTGAAAGTGTCGTGTTTAGATGATAAATTTGATCTAAAATTATGAACATTTGTTGAAGTTAGTGTGAGTAAAATCCAACCTTGAAGTATCACATTCTACCAATGTTAGTCAACGTTTATCTTCCAGAAAAATATAGAAGCAAAACATGGCATTGCTACGTGACCTTTCTACTTGTCATCATTGATTTTGTTGATTGGCATTTGATGTTTAAAGAATAATAAAATTATCAAATGTTGTCGCAATTTGCCAAAATGATCTTATTTGGTTAACTGGAATTAGTCCTAGACATCATCAGTATTTCCCGATTATCGAAATTGTCTGTCATGAGCTTCCCATATTTTAACCTTGTGGACCATTGAATCCCACCGCTCCCACAGTCAGTTGAGCTAATGACAGAACTATAGATCAAAGAACAAAGAGCTCATCGCGCAAAGCTACACATTCCCACCTGGTCATGTATTTCAATGGCGTAGCAGCACCACGAGGCGAAATGCTCACAGTTGCTGGCAAGCAAATTATACCCTGTCCTGTCAAGCTGGTTCGTGGCTCTCTTCACGATCTCGGATTTGCTGTAGGCTCTGAAAAGGGAGAAAACTATCAAGAAATGTAGTCATACGTACATGGGACATGCACGTGGTTTACATTTGCTACTGTCTTTAACTCAAAATATATACCTAATTTTTATTCTGCACAGAATTCTCTCACGTCAGAAATGGCCAGTATGTTACACGAACTATGGGATAAGGATGGGGTGTCACACTGTTTACTGTGAATACCATCCAGTATCACTACCCCATCGCTGCCCGAGGGATGTTTTAGTGAGAGGGGGGAATAAGCTGAGTGGACCACCGTTGCAGTTCAGTTGTTAATTCCAATGGTAGTCACGCACACTAAACAGCTGAATGAATACTGTAATTTTGTTCTGACACTGACGAAGTCTTTCGTCTTATGTTATGTACATGTACTTAAATAAACTCAAGTTCAGTAATGTGAGATGTGTTTTATCCATCTATCTATCCATCCATCCATCCATCCATCCATCCATCCATCCATCCATCCATCCATATGTAACAGATTGAACGAAGAAATATACTAATATTTTAACATGATAATATCAGATGTCCTGTCGTCATCCATTTTGGATTACAATAACTGTTCCCTGACGGAGAAGTCTATCACAATGATGACGAAGCGTAGTGGGGAGGGAGTGTTCTTATTACTTTAGCCCGTATTTCTCCTCCTTTGAGTTGTTCTTGTTCATCCTGCTATTCCCAGCAACATCCATGATTTTGTCTTTTCGGACAACGGCTTTCTCAGCCTTGTTGAAGCTCTGACCATCAACGCTTGCCAGGTGGATCACGTAACCATCACCTGGAAGACAGATGTTCCGACGTATCACATCCCTGTCTAAAATTCGAGACTGGAATGGAATTCTTGTACGGTTAGCGGGCGGTGACAATGGCTGATGGATTCTGATCTTACACTGTACCCCCACATTATTAATTATCCTGGTCAGATTTGGCATTGGCAAGGAAATTTATGTTAGCAGTAGATCATGGAAACCCTGGATGCTCCAAATATGAAAATGGTGTCTCGATAGAATATCATGATACAGGATTCAAGCATAAGAAGCGTACTTTACTTCAACCACCCCTGAATTTGTGACAGTCTCCAATACATACTAGAAAAAGATCGATCAATCTCATTAAAATCAGATCTTAGTTCTCGCTATGCTAAACAAAGATCTGAGGACATCCCATTAAGGGTCAAGTCAGAACGACCTTTCATCTAACACATCAGAGCGTCGCTTACCAGATCATGAAAGTGACAGTCGGAATGTGTTTTCTAATCATGCAACCACGAAATATTTAACATGGGGTATTCCGAACGGCAGTTACTGGTTTAATGGTTATATCCATACAATCTAGGGCGTCTATAAGCCATTGCAGAATGTTATTCTGATCAGTTTGAATTTTTTTAATCGAGAATACGTCAAAATATGTTTCGAAGCGTAATCGCCATTTGGTCGACGGGTGGCCCAGTCGTCTAAGGCGCGGCGATTCGCTGTGCAGAGTTTCGTCCCTTGGGCATGTCAGAAACCTATAATTGTGGGTTCAATCACGGTTCGCACCTATTATGTTTCTAGGTTTGTCAGCACCATACCCGTGCTCGTGGGTTTCACCGAAGTGGTAAACGTCTGAGACCTGCATCACTTCGGGCTTTCCTCCCACGTTAAGCTTGCACGCCGCGATATAACTGGAATACTGCGATAAACCCAACTCACTCACTCACCGTAGCAGATTGACAACAATAAGTGATATATAACAAGTAGCATACAGATAAGTGGATAAAGCCAGATGTACAGTAAGAATAGCAAGTAGAAAACAGGTGATGAAACACACGGGTCATGACGCCAAATGTACAGTGGGAATAGCAAGCAGCACTCAGTCGATGAAGCACGCGGGTAATAAGGCCAGATGTAAGTAGGAATAGCAATTAGCACACAGGTTATGAAGCACACGGGTAATGAAGCCAGATGTACAGTAAGAACAGCAAGTAGCACACAGTCGATGAAGCACACGGGTAATGAAGCCAGATGTAAGTAAGAACAGCAAGTAGCACACAGGTGATGATGCACACGGGTAATGACGTCAGATGTACAGTAGGGATATCAAGTAGCACACAGGTGATGATGCACACGGGAAATGAAGCCAGATGCACAGTTGGAATAGCAAGTAGCACACAGGTGATGATGCACACGGGTAATGACGTCAGATGTACAGTAGGGATATAAAGTAGCACACAGGTGATGATGCACACGGGAAATGAAGCCAGATGCACAGTTGGAATAGCAAGTAGCACACAGGTGATGAAGCACACGGGTAATGAAGCCAGATGTACAGTAAGAACAGCAAGTGGCACACAGGTGATGAAGCACACGGGTAATGAAGCCATATGTACAGTAAGAACAGCAAGTAGCACACAGGTGATGAAGCACACGAGTAATGAAGCCAGATGTACAGTAAGAACAGCAAGTAGCACACAGGTGATGAAGTACGCGGGTAATGAAGCCAGATGTACAGTAGGGATATCAAGTAGCTTAAAGGTGATGAAGCACACGGGTAATGAAGCCAGATGTACAGTAAGAACAGCAAGTAGCACACAGGTGATGAAGCACACGGGTAATGACGCCAGATGTACAGTAGGGATATCAAGTAGCACACAGGTGATGAAGCACACGGATAATGAAGCCAGATGCACAGTTGGAATAGCAAGTAGCACACAGGTGATGAAGCACACAGGTAATGAAGCCATGCCAGATGTACAGTAAGAATAGCAAGTAGCACACAGATGATGAAGCACATGGGTAATGAAGCCAGATGTACAGTAAGAATAGGAAGTAGCACACAGGTGATGAAGCACAAGGGTAATGAAGCCAGATGTACAGTAAGAATAGCAAGTAGAACACAGGTGATGAAGCACAAGGGTAATGAAGCCAGATGTACAGTAAGAAGAGCAAGTAGCACAAAGGTGATGAAGCACACGAGTAATGAAGCCAGATGTACAGTTGGAATAAGGATTTGTAATGTATGCTTCTTAAAATGTGTCAAAGAGAATCCATAAATATTAGGACAAGCCTACCAATATACACGCCCCAGTGAGAGTAAATTCCCCTCTCAAACTCCACCTGGTCACCGGGCTCCAAGCTCGACAACACGGAGTCGTTGTGGCCTTGGATCGACGCCATCGCCATTTTCAGTGTTCAAGTTTTCTGCGAGAATGCCACGCTGTAAAACGAAAGGCGTTATGAATAATACTATGCACAAGAATCCATGGTGTGACAGCATCAAATACACACATTAACAGCAGTGATAGGGCATAAATTGTAAAAAATTGTCAAAAACTAAGCCACTAAGGCCCCTGCTGCTCCACTAACAGTTAATAAATATCGATTGACGCCGTTCATTACAAACATATCATGGCGGACAAACAAACCAGCATTGATAGCATTTTCAACACGCAACACCGCAGTCAACAAAATCTGATCTGTTTAGACGACTCTCTAAACCAACTGGGTTTCAGGAAGCAATCCCACCTATAGTTTAGAAACTGAGTTGCAACGCCTATGTCGTTAAGGAAGACGATGTTCCATGGTCTTTTGCCAACATTTAGTCTAGGTCTGTACGTTGTTTATGTACGTTAAATGGGTGTTTGTGTGCAGAAATCTGATTGTTAAATGTTATATTGTTGTAATGTCGTGTAGTCGTTGTGTTGTAATGTTGTTACGCCTCGTAGTATTGTTGTAGTGTTGTAATGCTGTACCGCCTCGTCGTACTGTCGCAGTATTATAATGTTGTGCGCCCTCGTAGTACTGTCGTAGGGTTGTAATTTTGTGCGGCCTCGTAGTACTGTTGCAGTATTATAATGATGTGATGATAATGATGTCGTACTGTTGTAGTGTTGTAATGTGCCACCTTGTCGTACTGTTGTAGTGTTGAAATGTTGTACCGCCTCGTCGTACTGTTGTAATGTTGTTATGTTGTAATGTGCCGCCTCATCGTACTGTTGTAGTGTCGTACCGCCTCGTCATACTGTCGTAGCGTTGTCATGTTGTACCGCCTCGTCGTTAAGTCGTAGTGTTGTAATGTTGTACCGCCCCGTCTTACTTTTTGTAGTGTTGTAATGTTGTGCGGCCTCGTACTATTATTGTAGTGTTGTAATGTCGTACCGCCTCGTAGTACTGTTGTAATGTTGTGCTGCCTCGTCGTACTTTTTGTAGTGTTGTAATGTTGTGCCGACTCGTACTTTTATTGTAGTGTTGTAATGTCGTACCGCCTCGTAGTACTGTTGTAGTGTTGTGATGTTGTGCCGCCTCGTCGTACTGTCGTAGTGTTGAAATGTTGTACCGCCACGTCGTACTGTTGTAATGTTGTACCGCTTCAAAGTACTGTTGTAGTCTTATAATGTTGTGCCCCCTCGTCGTACTGTTGTATCGTTGTCATGTTGTACCGCCTCGTCGTGCTGTCGTAATGTTGTAATGTTGTACCGCCTCGTAGTTCTGTTGTAGTGTTGTAATGTTGTACCGCCTCGCTGTACTGCCGTACTGTTGTAATGTTGTATCGCCTCGTAGTACTGTTGTAGTATTATAATGATGTGCCGCTTCATCGTACAGTTGTAGTGTTGTAATGTTGTACCGCCTCCTAAGAGTTTCGTAATGTTGTAATGTTGTGCCGCGCCATCGTACTGTTGTAGTGTTGTAATGTTGTACCGCCTCGTCGAACTGTTGTAGTGTCGTAATGTTGTACCGCCTCGTCGTACTGTTGTAGTGTCGTTATGTTGTACCGCCTCATCGTACTGTTGTAGTGTTATAATATTGTACCGCCTCGTCGAACTGTTGTAGTGTTGTAATGTTGTACCGCCTCGTCTTACTGTTGTAGTGTCGTGATGTTGTACCGCCTCGTCGTACTGTCGTAGCGTTGTAATGTTGTATCGCCTCATCGTGCTGTTGTAGTGCTGTAACGCCGTGCCATCGGGTCGTCATGTCGTAGTATTGTTATGTCACGTGGTGCTGACGCAGTGTTGTAAAGTCGCATTGTGCTGTCAAAGTGTTGTAATGGCGCATCGTGCTGTTGTAATGTTGTCTGGTGCGGTCGCCCTCAGCATTAAATAAATACAGGGTAACAACAACCAGTTGTCGGTTGCTGCCTAAATTCCACGAGGAACTGAATCACAAACTTACAAATACTGAACACCATACTTACCAATAATAAATTAGACACATGCATTGTTTTTATCCTACTCTATAACACACGGGACATACAATCTCTTACCTTCCTTGCCTTCAGATCTCCAATAAACTCCCCTAGCAACCGTAGCTGTTGGCAACCCACTGTACATAGCGTTATGTCATCTTGACATTGGGTTTTCCAAGATTCGATTTTCCGAGGAATCATAAATGCGTGCGAAAGAGCCGCCGCATTGTCAACGCGCATGTTGACGGGGAATTAGCTCTTGGGGAATAAAGGACAAAATCGACATCACTGTCCCGGAACGGTTTATGCACAACATGTAAACAATAAACAACAATTGCACAATGAGCGGAATACCTGCTCTGACAACACAAACACAGCGATGAGCGGACCTTCCAGCTCAGGCGTACAAGAGGTGAGCGGAGCTTCAGCTCACCTCAGGGCGTTTCCTACGAGCGGCACATCCTGCTCGAGGTCGTCCCTATGCCAGCACTCGGAATACCAAGCCTGACTAACACCCTAGTAACTGTGTAATGGTAGCACATATATAGTACTGAACAATGGAAATACAATGACGTTGCTCTGGACATGGGACTTCCGGGGATGACGTACCGACACAACTCAGGGGATGAACAATTAAGGCAATAAATGTCATACTAGCAATAACAGTAATTAACGGGAAGTGATAAAGTAGCCCAGTTTGGCTGTCAGTCAATATACAATGAAATGTTGGTGAGGATTAACAACGGCGATTAGCGCCTAAAACGTAATGACAATTAAGTTATGGAGACATGGCTACAGGGTAATTTGCCTATGGAGTCAAATGTACTTCAGACAATGGTAGTCATAAATCAGTCGCTATGACAACATTATAGAGTTTTTTTGTGCTGTGTTATTGGGTTGACAACGGATAAATAGTTATTCAACAATGACTTAACCTGAAATTGCATGTAGGTGCTCCTTGTTTGAATCCGCATTCAGCATTATTGTAGCTTTGTGACGGCTGCCCTGTACAGAAATCCAGTGTCAGGTCAGGTTGACATTACACACAATGGTACACGTCTCCGAGACATGTTTGTTTGTTTATCGAATCTGGACCAGACAATCCAGTGAGTGATATCATGAGCATCGTTACACGCATTTGGGATCGATGACATGCATCAACCAAGTCAGCGAGCCTGACCACCCGATCCCGTTAGTCGCCTCTTACGACAAGCATAGTCGGATTTTACGGCAAGCATGAGTCACTGAAGACCACTTCCAACCCGGATCTTCACGGGTGTGTACTGCAATGCATTGGCCGAAATATATACTGATTCTTACACACTGGCCCGTCTTCTTGTCATTCATTTACATAATTTGTAATTTGTTGTGAGAGGTGGTCGCCTCCTCCATATTAACTCTGCTTGTACACTCTGTCTTTCCGTCGCGTAAAATAGATACTGTCGTCATGAGGACCTAATGATCTCTCCTCAAACTGACTGATTTTGTAGTACATGAACACAACTAACGCATACAAACTGCAAACCTATTTATTACATACATTCATACAAGGTATAAAAATAGAGATCCAATGGTTTATAAGGATGATATATATACGTAAACGACAAGCACTTAAGTTTCAGTAAAATACAGTGATAACATACATGACGGCGCTATCGCATTCACATTGGTGTGCACGTGGATATTTCATACACCTTTTCGTTTCTGAGCGTCATGCCCTCTACACCTAGACAGGAGTTCAATAGAAGAGTGAGTGAGTGAGTTTGGTTTAAAGCCGCTTTTAACAGTATTCCAGTTATATCACGGCGTGTCAGCTTAATGTAGGAGGAAAGCCCGAAATGATGCAGGTCTCAGACGTTTATCACTTCGGTGAAACCCACGAGCACGGGTATGGTGCTGACAAACCTAGAAACATAATAGGGGCGAACCGGGATTCGAACCCACAATCATAGGTTTCTGGCGTGCCCAAGGGACACAACTCTGCACAGCGAATCGCGGCGCCTTAGACTATTGGGCCACCCGTGCCCCCGTTCAATAGAAGAAACGTTCGTGTCCTGTATGTGTTTTGTACTGTTAAAATCGAAATTTCAGAAGCAAGGTGGTTAAGAAATATAGTTCACTCAGTCATTGACGCGACACTCTATGGAGGTGTGACAGATTTTCAAGCAGTGAGTATGGTATCAATTAAAATGACTTTCATTACATTAGTTGTAAGTATTGTAAGTGATCCTTTGTTTTCTGAACACAATGCATTTCAACGAACTTTAAAGTATAGTTTCCCTGTTGTTTGACACCGCACTCAATACTTTTCAGCGATAACGCGTTTGAATATTACACTCGTAACACGAGGATTTTGTAAACATTTCAAAGCTGCTGAAGCGTCTACATATTAGGACTATAAGATGCGGGTAGAATAAGAGTTATCGTTCTTGTTTCAAGTCTAGTTCACGTGTAGGTCGCTACCCACTTGTGAGCACTCGCCACTGGAATCTACAGTTTTGTCAATATATCCTGTTTCACTCCAACGCCACGGTGTACATGAAACATATCAGTACATTGCTTCTTTCTCTTTGTCCTTCTCTTTACCACCTCGAAACCAGGCAACCAATTCTACCCCAAATCCCACCACTGCGACCCCGGCAGCTAGGCCTCTAAGCAGGACATCAACCTAAAAGAAAACGAAAACAATCTAGATGCGATTTGTTCTCTATAAAGATAATTCGTTCCCGAAAACCCTGGACAAAACTAATTTAATCCTGGGACATTACAAAAAGAAATATTAAATGTTGCTGAACATGCTGAGTGTACTGAAAACATAATTTGTTGTTTGGCTTCATTAAAGAAATTAATCTTGCATTAGGTATTTTATAAAAGGTTATTGTGAAATCAGGCCGCCGTCGTTTGGCAGGAGAGTTGATCTTCGGAGTTTAGGCAGCAAATACTTGCTTCTTGGAACGGGCGGGTGCTACTGGCAGAGCATGACATGATCACCCTTTCGGGCAAACCTGGTGTCAACACTGATTTCCAGTGATCCATTTATTAAAATTATTGAAAACCGTTATTCCGCCCTTTTACACACAATGGAATCTGTTGTAGCAGATAATTGAGACTTTTAATTCTCTGGCGTTGATGTTTTATAATTAGATGGAACATGGACGTCGAAACAATACCTTCCTGACTTGGCAACCAGCAAACGAGACTGTTGTATGTCTGACCATGTGCAATGGCATAATAATTGTTTGAGTCTAAGATAATCTATAAGAAAATAAATGGTTGATCTGCTTATCCATTTTACATTGCTTAGAGGAAGACAAAAGAAATTGGCAAATGAACAGTTTGTAAACAGACCTGATCACTTTGTTCTATGCCGTACCGGCACCATGAGGCAAAATGTTCGCAATTGTTCGAGAGTATGTTGTTACCCAACCTCTCCAACTCTTGCATTTGCTCTTTGTACTATCTCAGATCCATTGAAGTGGCTGAAAATTAAAGATATAATTACGCCTGTCATTACCATGTGATCATTAGACAATTTTAATTCCTTGGCAATTATGGAGACGATGAAAAGGGTGACAACGACTGAATATAAACCACTGTCTTCGATTTCAAAATGAATCGTGCTCTTGGCATCCTCAATTGAGGGTAGCATTTACCTCAGACATATGTACATGTCGCCGTCTCAGCAAGAAACCGTTTAGTGCTGTGTTAAACAACAAACAAAACTTACCTCATTATAATGTCTTTTGAGTTGTCCTTATACACTTTGCTGTCCCCAACCACTTCCCAAAATCCATCTTTGCGAACAATCCCTTTGTTAAACTCCTGTCCAGATAATGTGCCTAAGTGTTTAATGTTACTTTCCATTGGGCCGTCGACTCCAGACAAGTGCACGATGTCATTGTCACCTGAAAAACACAATAATTATTATCACATATATACAGTATTACTGTAAGCAGCATTTTCAAAACAAGGAAACAACGGAATGTGAGATATGCATTCTCCTTATCAACCTCTGTGTGGGACGGGGGGGGGGGGGGAAGGGATGTGTGTGTGTGTGTGTGTGTGTGTGTGTGTGTGTGTGTGTGTGTGAATGGGCTTCACACATTGTACCCATATCGGGAATCTGACCCGGGTCTTCGGCGTGACGAACGAACGCTTTAACCACAAGGCTACCCGACCGTCCCTTAAACAATGGTAGAAATGTGGAACAACCACAGACAAGTGTATGCATTGATTTCTTATTCGGGATATTACAGTATTTGCTGATGTCAATCACTGGTTTGTCTGAACCAGGCGTGATTGCTTACAGCCCGCGGCATATAAATGGGGTATTGCTGAGTGTGGTATCAAACAGCAAATAAACCAAAACAATATTAATCACTGGATTGTTTATTCAAAGATCGATTATTTACAGGCCATCGCCATACACATTGAAGCTAGAATATTGCTGAGTGCGGCATTCAACAAACAAGCAAATAAACACAAGAATGTGCATTAATATTTTGTTGAGTACACTTACCAGTGTATACTGCCCAGTGACCGTATACTCCGCAAGGGAATTGCACCAGATCGCCTGGTTCCAAGCTCTCAAGTACTATCTGGTTGTGGCGCCGGACTTCACGGGAGGACATTTCTCTTTACTCTTTAACTATGCAGTTGGTGAAGTCTCTAGCAATTATTTTTTTCTAAAGCGAAAAAGAAATTAAAGGGTATGATTTTCTTTTTTTTATCCCCCTAGCGACTTATATGCCAAAACAACTAAAATAATTAATTGAAGCGCCCCACCATCCACCTCTAGAAACTGGAATGGTGTCGAATCGTACACCTTTGTCACTTCGGCTTGACAACGTTGTAAAAAATTACATCGAAACGTCTCTATATGCAATAAACCAGAAGTACTTATCCATAAAGTTGTACGTTTTCTCACTTACTCACCAATTTTTACAAAGTCAATCAAACAGTTAGTATACATGACGACGATTTCGCAACTCTATTAATATATGAGCACGAACCTTGGGAAACGGAAAAAGCTATTACGTAAATTTCATGTCTGTACAAGTCACAACCCGAGCCAGTCTTTCAAATCGAAAGTAAAAGTGAACGATGTGGTGTTTGCAAGGAATAAACAAGCAGTTTGAGATACACAACACCAGGCTGACTCAACAGAAAGGACTGACACAACCACACAGCCGCAGTAGTAAAGCCCCAATCTCACATTCACGAAGCTGAACACGAATGAACACGAT